GAGACGAATTTGTATTCTAGGTAGGCTGACCTTGAAGAACTCGACACTACGATTTTTCTCCGATCCCAACCAGCACAGCGCATGCGTCAGCTGTTTTCCCACGCAATTAATCACAGCGCGTGTGTCAGCTGTCTTCCCGCGTGATTAATCGCAGTGCGTGCGTTGAGCGTCCTTTCAAAACCCTCCCCATACCCTAAATTACAGGATTTTCACAAAGGGTGGCGTTGAAAAATTTTCTGCTCCTTAGGGGGGCGGCAGCTTCAAAAGTCCTTTCAAAACCCTCCCCATACCCTAAATTACAGGATTTTCACAAAGGGTGGCGTTGAAAAATTTTCTGCTCCTTAGGGGGGCGGCAGCTTCAAAAGTCCTTTCAAAACCCTCCCCATACCCTAAATTACAGGATTTTCACAAAGGGTGGCGTTGAAAAATTTTCTGCTCCTTAGGGGGGCGGCAGCTTCAAAAAGGTTGAGAATCACTGGACTATACCATACTGACGGGGAAACAAACTTGGCAATGTTCAGAGAGATCAATATTTCTATACTTGTACTGGGGGCCAAGAAGTAAGTTAGATGCTTTGGAGGTGGAGCTGTCAAAGTATCCAGAGCAAAAGACATTTGTTAGCATGCCAAGCTGTATAAAAGGGCTGAGAAATTGAGCTGTGATTTCCATGAGTGGACAACTGCCCTGTTTATTCATTCAAAACATATTTAAAGTGTGTTTCTGTCTTTGCAAATATAAGGAGGAAGTACAGGTAGTCCTCATTTAGCAACTGTTCGCAGTTACAACAGTGCTGAAAAAGTAACTTTATGACCACTCCTTGCATTTATGACCTTCACAGATCTGTAAAGCAAAGGAAAGCTGAACTAAGATCATAAGTACGGCTTTGCCAGTCCTAATTGTGGTCGCTAAACAAGGACTACCCGTAGAAAGGAACATTGTCACATCAAGAGAACAAAACAAAATATGAACTAACATGAAGTAAGGAGAGCCTCCACTCCATAATGCTATAGGATGCCAAATCACTAAAACCAACCAAGCCAGCATAGCACCATTGAACCTGTCTGGCCAAATACATATATTTTGATTGCAATCTGCCACTGAGCAGATTACTAAATCCAAGGTATGGGGAAAATCATTTTTTGTGTGTATGTGATTAAAATCCTTTTTGGCATGCCCTGTTCTGAAATTACTTATCCAAGGAGAATGATTTTTAATCTTAGGGCAAACTGGAGCCACTTGGTCTCCCTCCAGTGAATTAAAATTATCTCACTTTGCTTTAATCTACTACACTTCAGGATTTATACTGAGTCAGTATGCAGTGCTAAGAAGGACCAGTGTCCTGAACTGGGCTTATAAGTAAATTCCTGGCCAATGATGTTCCTTTGGAATTTGTTTAATTATTGGTTTCCAGGTGGTGTGCTAAGCCCCAGCAAGACAAGGATATGGATCACTATCTTGCTTAAAGCTAACATTTTATCCCCAGAGTTTGATCCCACTAACCTTGATGGACAAATAATTTGGTTCTGGGTATGGGAAGTGGAAGGAGCTGCAATAACAATATTCTTCCAGTTTGCTGTAATTTGGGAATGCCAACAATCAAGATAAAGCTCAGGCAGAGAATTCTGGATATGAAAACTAAGATTGAATATACAGTGGTACCTCGGGATACGAACGCCTCTACTAACGGACGTTTCGGGTTAAGACCAGCTTCGGCAGGAA